ATGGGATTGCTGAGCGCCGCATTGGCATGGTCATGGACGTCGCCCGTACGTCCATGATGCATGCGGCTGCCCCCCATTTTCTGTGGCCGTTTGCGGTTCGGTACGCGGCGCATCAGATCAACCTTCACCCTAGGGTCTCCAGACCGGAGACCTCCCCTGCTTTGCTGTGGACGGGGAAGGTTGGCGATGCGTCTGCGTTCCGTGTCTGGGGATCTCGGGCGTTTGTCCGCGACTTGTCTGCGGACAAGCTGTCCCCTCGTGCTGCTCCTTGCGTCTTCCTTGGCTTCCCCCCTGACGCGCCAGGGTGGCAGTTCTACCACCCCACCTCTCGCCGTGTTCTGTCCTCCCAGGACGTCACTTTTGACGAGTCAGTCCCCTACTACCGCCTCTTCCCCCACCGCACTCCGTCCCTCCCCCCACCACCGCTCTTCCTTGTGCCAGGTCCCCCCCCGGTAGACCCCCTCCCCCCTCAGGGTCCTGCCCCTTCAGGTGTGTCCCAGGTAGACGCAGTCGAGCCTGTCGAGGTTACTGGTGACTCTGGTGCTGCTGAGGGTGCTGAGCCTGGGGGTGCTGAGTCTGGGGGTGCTGAGCGTGTGGGTGCTACGCCTGGGGGTGCTGAGCCTGAGGGTGCTACTACTGGGGGTGCTGAGCCTGGGGGTGCTGAGCCTGGAGGTGCTACTACTGGAGGTGCTGAGCCTGGGGGTGCTGAGCCTGGGGGTGCTGAGCCTGGGGGTGCTACGCCTGGAGGTGCTGGGCCTGGGGGTGTGGAGCCTGAGGGAGCTGGGCCTGCTTGTGTGGCGTCTGGCGGTGCTGAGCCTGGAGGTTCTCTGGGTGCTTCGTCTCGGCGGGAGCCACTCTCTCCACAGGAGCTGCGCGAGTGGTTTGCCCGGCGCTGGAGGCGTGCTGCTGGAGCTGGAGGTTCTTCGGCTACTGAGGGTGCTGGTGCCGCGGGTCCCGGAGGTGCTCGTACTGGGAGTACTGGAGCTGCTGGACCTGCGGGTACGACTGGAGCTGGAGCTGCTGAGGGTGTTGACGCTGAGGCTACTGCTGTCGGTCCTGGAGGCGGGCCTGCTGGGGGTGCTACTGGTGCTGCTGGAGGTACTGGAGCTGGAGTTGCTGCTGGCGCTGGTGCTGCCGCTTGGGGTACTGGTGCTGTCCCTGCTGTGTCTGGAGTCGCCGCGCGGCCTCGGCCGTACTTCGTTCCGCTCCTTCAGCAGGTTCTTGGTCTCCCGCCTTCTACTGGCCCTCCTCCTCCCTTAGAGAGTCCACAGCCTGTCCTGTCACAGTTACAGTTACAGCCGGCCTCCCCACTGCCCGCTCCTTCTCCCTACACTGGTCCTACTGGAGGTCTTGCTGAGCGTCGTGAGCCTGCGTCGCGTCCTGCGTCGCCTGTCCGTACTGCTCGCGCTAGTGGTCGTGGTTCGCGTCAGCATCCTCCTCCTGTCCCTGGCACGCACCGGATGTCTCTGCGTCCGTCCACTGCTCCTCTGCGTGCCCCTTTGCCTTCTCCTCCTGAGTCCTCTCTTCCTGCTCTTCCCGACCCAGAGTCGGACTCTCTTCGTTCTGCCAGTCCTACTGTCACGCGTCTCCTTGCTACTGTCGTCACTGACCCTTCCTTTGCGTCCACTGCTGCGTCTGCCCTAGTTGCTGAGCTCGTCGACTTTGCTGCTCGCTGTCGTCTAGACTACGCTGCTTGTCTTGTCGCTGAGTCTGCGTCTGTCTGTCCTCCGTCCGTCGGGGGTGAGTGTGCCCTTGGCACGGACGTCCTTGAGGACAGGCAGGAGGAGTTCCAGTGTTTGGCTGCTGCTTCACCTCATCTCGTGTCCGTACTGCTTACCCCTGAGAGAGACCCGGATGCACTTGACATCCCGACTCCGCGCTCTTACGCGGAGATGGTCCCTACTCCTCTCAGTGGCAGGCAGCTATGGACACAGAGATGGCTTCCTGGAAGTCCACAGGTACCTACGTTGACGAGGTTCCCCCGCCTGGGGCGAACATCGTCAGTGGCATGTGGATTTTCAGGGTGAAGCGGCCGCCGGGTTCTCCGCCTGTCTTCAAGGCGCGTTACGTGGCTCGTGGCTTCAGTCAGCGGCAGGGAGTTGACTACTTTCAGACCTTCTCTCCCACCCCGAAGATGACCACTCTTCGGGTACTGCTGCACATAGCTGCTCACCGCGACTACGAGCTGCACTCTCTTGACTTCAGCACTGCTTTCTTGCAGGGCAGCCTGCACGAGGAGATCTGGCTGCGTCGCCCACCTGGCTTCACTGGGTCTTTTCCTCCTGGCACCCAGTGGAGCCTCCGGCGGCCAGTCTACGGTCTCCGCCAGGCACCGCGTGAGTGGCACGACACACTGAGGACTACACTTGCGGCTCTTGGGTTTGCTCCCTCTACTGCCGACCCGTCGCTGTTTCTGCGCACCGACACTTCTTTGCCGCCGTTCTACATCCTCGTGTACGTCGACGACTTGGTCTTTGCCACAGCTGACACTGCTGGACTCGCCCACGTGAAGTCCGAGCTGCAGAAGAGACACACGTGCACAGACCTGGGTGAACTGCGCAGCTACCTTGGCTTGCAGATCACCCGGGACAGAGCACGCCGCACCATTACCCTGACTCAGTCACACATGGTGCAGCAGGTCCTTCAGCGCTTCGGCTTCACGTACTCCTCGCCTCAGGCCACTCCTCTGCCTACTCGCCACTCGCTCTCAGCTCTGCCTTCGGATGAGTCCGTAGAGTCGAGTGGCCCGTACCCAGAGCTTGTTGGCTGCCTCATGTACCTGATGACCTGCACACGACCTGACCTCGCATACCCTCTTAGCATTCTCGCACGCTATGTTGCTCCTGGGAGACACAGACCGGAGCACATGGCTGCAGCGAAGAGGGTGTTGCGTTACTTGTGCAGTACGTCGGGCATGGGGCTTGTGCTTGGAGGGCAGAGTCCAGTGGTCTTCACTGGGCACGCAGACGCTTCTTGGGCTGACGACCAGGCTACGCAGCGGTCGTCACAGGGTTACACCTTCAGCCTTGGTTCCGGCTCTGTTTCGTGGCGGGCTACCCGCTCGTCTTCTGTTCTCGGCTCCAGTTGTGAGGCTGAGATCTACGCCGGGGCCATGGCTGCACAGGAGCTTCGCTGGCTCACCTACCTGTTGACTGACCTCGGAGAGCCGCCTCGTTCTCCTCCAGTGCTGTACGTAGACAACAAGGCCATGCTGGCCTTGTGTCGAGAGCAGAGACTGGAGCACAGAACGAAGCACATTGCTCTCTGCTACTTCCTTGCTCGTGAGCTACAGCAGCGTGGTCAGCTGCGGCTTGCGTACGTGGCCTCTCAGGCCAACACTGCTGATATCTTCACCAAGGCACTTGCGCCTTGTGATCATCAGCGCTTCTGTACTCAGCTGGGTCTTGTGCCCACCTTGCCTCACTTGCTCACCCCTTGACCTTGTTTGTACTGATGCATATATATATATACTCCTGCTCTTGCTTGTCTAGCCTTATATATATATGTAATCCTGCATGTGAACTGGCCTTGTGGCCTTGAACTTGTGCTCGGAATGTGTGGTGACTTTGTGATCCACCCTGAGCTTGTTTTGCTTTGCTTGACTGGTCCTGTGACCCCTTGTTCTCCCCCACTTTGCCTATGGGGGTGTGTCAGATTTATATGACATAGCTACTGTAGGCTATAGTGGGGTGGCACATATGGGGTACAGTTTTCTAGGGTTTGCTTTTTGTACCCAACTTTCACTTAGTCATTTCATTCCTCGTTTCTTCTCACTGAGGGGTACATTCCCTTACTAACTGCTACAGTAACCACGACTATTGCTATTCTTGACAGTTACCATGTTGCATCGCGTAACTGCCAAGTGCGGTTATTGGGCAGTCAAGGGTTACGACCGTTGACTGTCTTGGACTGTTGACCTTCGGGTGACCCTCGACCTTCCGCATGCTCTATATGAGCTATTGCGATACTGATACAGGCGCGTGGCTTCGTTATGGTGTGACGCGCGAGTGGAGAGCCTTCGGGAATGTTTATGATAACCTTTCGGTTATTCCAACGCAACGATTACGCGGTGCGTGCGAGCTAGGTAGTGCTAGGCTGGCATTGAGGTTCGGGCTAGTCTCGAAGCGTAGGCCGACTCAGCCAGGCCGGCGGTGGTGCATAGTTTGGTAAAACAGTGCGCGCGAAATTGGCGAAGCCCCGTTAGCAGTACGAACAACAGCTGCTGCTGTACGCGATGTTGACGGTCGCGGTAAGGAATGTCGAGAAAATTTCCTACTTTAGTCCATTGTATAGAAACAACATTTACCCTTGGAGCAAGCAGCAAAGCCTATGAGAGGAAAACTGAGGCAAACTAGGTAACAAGAGTTTCAAGCTGTACATATACATATTACCTAGAATATATGAAGCTATACATATAATAAGATACTGTTGCACCATATACAATGCAACTCACTAAAGCTTAAGAAACCTAATACGCATATAAATGTAGTCTGACAGTTGCTAATGCAAATACTATAAATCCCTAGACTCACGTGATACCGTAATCCCCCGTATATAAGACCCTAGGGTATTATGATAATCACCCCTAAAAAGGCTGGGGGGTATAATTAAATGGAATGTTTTTTAGAAGACCCGGGTCTGTTCACATTGACATTTATAAGAATGCACGATGTTGTACATTTCAGTCTCGTAAAGCCAATCAAATCGAACTTTTACAGCGTCCTGAATCAGAATCGCGCGAGGGCGTTTCCCTGACTGTGCACAGAGATTTGGCACGTCACTTTGCCTGCGTGCCAGCTCATCCTGACTGGACGCGCAACAAGTGAAGCAGGCCCCACGTTATCAGGGCAAAACATCCTGATTACCCTGAATTCAGGATGCTGTTTTGAATTTACCCTGTCATTTCAGAATAGTGTAAATTTTAACCCTGAGGTCTCAGGATGTTTTTATATGAAATGCACTGAACATTCAGAATGGCTGTAGTGTTCTTCCCTGTAGCGTCAGGATGAATGCTGAGGCCTGCCCTGACGCGTTTTTTGTTGGGGGGGGGAGGGGGGGGGGGGGGGGGGGGAGTCCTGGGGAAATTTCCCCCCAAGGATTTTTGTCTCCGTAGGAAACCCCGTCATTAAGCACTCATTCAACCACCCAACCATCCAGAAGTGGCCTAGTCAGTGGCCTAGTCCTGGGATCGAACCCACCCCCGTGCAGTCGAACTTCAACTTCAACTTTGTCAACCAACCTGTCTGAACCCCAACACTTCTTTTTTGCCCTGACAGGTCAGGATTGATTTATGAAAAAGCCCTGAACATACCGTCATCGCCCGGATATAAGACAGTGTTGAATAGTAGACAGGGGTTGTCTACTATACGGGTGTCTCCTATAAACAGGCAAGCCTTTTTATACGACACCTATTTGTGTGTACGAGATAAGACATATATGTCTTATAATCAGAACCGGGGTTTAGGGGTTTTCTTATAAACAGGGGGTGTCTTCTAAACGAGCCTACACTACTTTAGGGGGGTACATCCATACATTCATGAATCCCTACTTCTACCTAACCCCCCTCAGTAACCGCCTCCTCTGCAGCACTAGCAACAGGCTCTACGCCCAGGTCTGGCACTCGCCAGGCATGCCTAGCCGTCTCCCTTGGCTCGATCATGCGGTCAGCCTCGGCCGCCGCTCCGCGGTAGTTGGGGGTCTCCTGGTACAGCACCTCCAGGCCAGTTGCCACGGCCACCTCCCGCACGCCCTCCGCCTGCATCGCCTCCTCCTCCTCCTCCTCCTCCTCCTCCTCCTCCTCCTCCTCCTCCTCCTCCTCCTCCTCTGGAGCCTTCCGAAGTAGGCGCGTGTTGTCGCCTGTGGTCCCCCCGAGGGACATGTCCTCGGAGACATCGGTGGTGCTCCTGGCGCGCAGGTGAGACATCACCAGGTGGTTCTCCGTTCCGTCCAGCTTGCTGGAGATCCCACAGTGGCGGAACGCGTCGATGATGATCTGCCTGGGGACTTGATCCCAAGCCTCCGCGATCCACTGCAGCACCACGGGGTGCGGAGGCCTCCGCAGGTTCCCTGCGGGTGGGACAGAGGACACGGCAGCGAGATGTTAACGATAAGGACACGAAACAGAGCAGGAATTTAAAATGAACAGCCAACTCACCCTTCTTCGTCTTCAGGTGAATCCCTTCACGCATGAACCACCTGGCGTAGCGCGCTCGCACGGCAGCCTTGAAGCACCGGTTGATGGAGACGTCCAGGGGTTGAATCTGGCTCGTACAACCCGCTGGAATGACTGCAGGGGTGATGCTGTGCGTGCGGTACGACTGAAGCATGGTCTGGGTGATGTGGCCGCGGTAGGAGTCCAACACCAGCATCGCACGCCTCGCGCTCTTGCCGCGCTGGGGGTTCAGATGGGGAAGCACCTCCTTGGACAGCCAGGTCTGCACAGCGCTCTCGTCCATCCACCCGTTGTCCTGTGCTTGGACCACGATTCCTGCCAGGCACACAAGGGACAGACGGACATCAACACAGTGGGGCACGCTCATGAGGCAGGGGCAAGGTTGAAGTCATGGCGCTTACCGTCCGGAATCTCACAGTTGGGGACGTTCTTCATCTTGAACCACACCCACGGCCGCAGCTTCTCCCCGGATGCAGTGCACGCGAGCATCACCGTCAAGCGCGCCTTCTGGTAGCCTGCAGTGCGGATTGGGACCGAGCGCGCGCCACGGTGCTCGATCGTCCTCTCGGCCGGCATCTCCACGAACAGTGGCGTCTGGTCCGCGTTGATGATACGGGCCAGGTCGATGTTGTGCCGCGCCCTGTTGATGCGCACGAACTTCCAGAAGGTGGGCGGGTGTTGGGATTATGGAGGGTGGGGTCCTTCGGCGCCTCCTTCTCAGGGAACGTGGGAATCGGGCCCGCCGCCGCCGCGTACTCATCGTCGCTGCCCAACGCCTCGTTGACGATGATGTCGTCAGGATTCGGCGCCTTCTTCGCCTTTTTCTTTGCCGCACCCTTGCTGGATCCAGGGTCTCCGTCGTCCTTGCGCTTCTTGTTGCTTGTGCGGCCACGAGCAGGGGCCTTTGCAGGGGCCTTAGCAGGGGACTTAGCAGGGGCTTCCACGACCTTTGCCTTTCCCTTCTCCGCAGCGGTGAGTAGGGGGCGACGCTCCTCCCCGGGACTGTCGTCGTCACAGAGCACCACGCGGGCGCGCTTCGTCGTGGACTGTAGGCGATGGCGCAGCCTCCGCTTCAGTAGCGGAACGTCGTCGTCTGTCCCAAGGCTCCACGGGTCGTCGTCGTCGCCCTCACCCTCAAATAAGACGGCATCCGCAGCCACCTTGTTCGCCTCCGCCACCGCGTCCGCATCCGCAGGCGCCTCTGTCTCGAGTTCCGCCGCCGCCTCGTCGGCAGCCTCATTCGCATCCACCGCCGCTTCCTGTGCCTCCGCGTTGTCACCGCCAGCATCTTCACCTCCGTCGTTGTCGGAATCACCAGCCCGCCACTCTTCCACCTCGTCGTCGCTCCCGACCGGCTGATTCCACCATTCGTCCTCCTCGATGTCGGCAGTACCAAATTCGTCGCCCGAAGCGCTGTCATCGTGGCCGTTCTCCGGCCAATCCTCCTCGGCGTCGTCGCCGTGTGCTTCGTCTCCGTCTTCCCCGTCACAGCTCGCACCGGAGGCGGCGGTAGGACTTCCCGCCTTGCTCGCGTTCTTCGCCATGGCTACGCGGATGTCATCGCCGGGCGAGTTAATTCGCCCGTAGCTATTCACCTGCACGTGAGGACGAGGTGAGGACTTGCCTAGGGGTACCTTGCTGCGCATGGTTAGAGAGCCTGCCGAGAGCAAGGTTGAGGTGAGAATTCAACCTCCATGAGCACCAAATGAAGTGAAAGCCCGACTACCCCCCCCAGCCAGAGTGCCCCATCCACAGGTGCCGAGCCGCTCCTCTACGAGGCATCTCCTCGTAGAGGACAGCCTGACGCTGCCAACGTGCTGCCAGCAGCGTTCTGGAAGCTGCCATGCGCTGCTGGCAGCAAAACGACGCTGGCAGCATCATTAGATGCTGCCAGCACAGAGGAATCTTGCCAGCGGTGGCAGCTTTGCTGCATCACCACCGAGGTCGGCCTGTTTCAATGAATCTGGTCCCTGGGTGTTTTCTACACACTTTGCAAGTGTTACAGTCAACTTAAAATTTTTTCCATTTATAAGAATTATAAGACACCCTAAACCATCCCGTTTACAAGATAACTCAAGCATTTTTGCCCGTGTACGAGATAAGACATATATGTCTTATATCCGGGCGATGACGGTACAGGAAGGCTTCGAAAATTTGCCCTGACAAATCAGGGCATTTTTTACGATTCTGGAAAGGTGCCCTGAGGCCTCAGGGTGCCCCAAATCCTAGCACGGGCCCTGAAGTGAAGCCTTCGAAAGTCAAACACATTGAAAATGGGTGTTGACTCATTTGAAATTCAAATTTCGTTACCATTTTCAATTGCATTTTTTTGTAAAATCCGCACTTCTCTAGTATGTGGGGGGGTCTTATAATGTTAGGAGCCATTTAGCGGGTATAACTCAGATGTACTCGAATAGAGTACCCGGGTCCGTACCGTATTATAGACCCGGGGGTCTACAACTGGGGGGGGTCCTATATACAAGGGATTACGGTAGCACTCACAGCTTGCTACACGACTGATAAGCGCTCACAAGCAGGCAAGCAACACAGGAGCGCAGAGTGAGACACCAATCTGGCTCTACAGGAGAGTTAGAGCAAGCAGGGCGGCGGAGGTGGCAAGGGCAAGGGCAACTGAGAGTGCTGCTGCCACGGGCGAGAGAGGGCGAGTGGCCCTTTTGGAAACAGACGAGGGAGGAGGAGGGGGGGGTGGCGGCAGCAGTGGCTCTGCTCCACCTGTTGAGATGAAGGTGAAGGGAGAGGACAGGAAAGGAGAGGAGAGGAGAGGAGAGGAGAGGAGAGGAAAGGAGAGGAGAGGAGAGGAGAGGAGAGGAGAGGAGAGGAGAGGAGAGGAGAGGACAGGAAAGGAGAGGAGAGGAGAGGAGAGGAGAGGAGAGGAGAGGAGAGGAGAGGAGAGGAGAGGAGAGGAGAGGATAGGAGAGGGAAGGAGAGGAGTGGAAAGGACAGGATAGGATAGGAGAGGAGAGGAGAGGAAAGGAGAGGAGAGGAGAGGAGGGGAGAGGAGAGGAGAGGAGAGGAGAGGAGAGGAGAGGAGAGGAGAGGAGAGGAGAGGAGAGGAGAGGAGAGGAGAGGAGAGGATAGGATAGGATAGGAGAGGAAAGGAGAGGAGAGGAGAGGAGAGGAGAGGATATGATAGGATAGGGAGAGGAGAGGAGAGGAGCGGAGCGGAGAGGAGAGGAGAGGAGAGGAGAGGAGAGGAGAGGAAAGGAGAGGAGAGGAGAGGAGAGGAGAGGAGAGGAGAGGAGAGGAGAGGAGAGGATAGGAGAGGAGAGGAGAGGAGAAGAGAGAACAGGAGAGGAGAGGAGAGGATAGGAAAGGACAGGACAGGAGAGGAGAGGAGAGGAGAGGAGAGGAGAGGAGAGGAGAGGAGAGGAGAGGAGAGGATAGGATAGGATAGGATAGGATACGATAGGATAGGATAGGATAGGAGAGGAGAGGAGAGGAGAGGATAGGAGAGGATAGGAGAGGAGATGAGAGGAGATGAGAGGAGAGGAGAGGATAGGATAGGATAGGATAGGATAGGATGGGATGGGATGGGATAGGATAGGATAGGATAGGATAGGATAGGATAGGATAGGATAGGATAGGATAGGATAGGATAGGATAGGATATGATAGGAAAGGAGAGCAGAGGAGAAGAGAGGAGAGGAGCGGATAGGATAGGATAGGATAGGAGAGGAGAGGAGAGGAGAGGAGAGGAGTGGAGAGGAGAGGAGAGGAGAGGATAGGGGAGGAGAGGGGAGGGGAGGAGAGGGGAGGAGAGGAATGGGGAGAAGAGGAGAGGAGAGGAATGGGGAGAAGCGGAGAGGAGAGGAGAGGAATGGGGAGAAGAGATAATGAAGGGTCAAAAAGGGGTGTGAGATGAGTGAGGGGAAAGAGAGCAAGAAGCACACGACAAAATGGGGCTGCCAGGAGAGGTGGTGGTGTACAGTTCAAAGAAGCCGGCAATCTGGGTACTGTTCTATTGCGCGGACAGAACATAGGTGGCTTTTGGGTCAACTCAAAAGTCACTATTCTATCACGCGGACAGAACAACTTGGTGTGTACCCGTTTCAAGAGAAGGATTTGCCTGCTTGGAACAGGTGGATGACAGAGGCTGTCCGCAGCAAGCAGTGCTGAAAAATTCATAAGACCAAGTACGAAAGACGATAGGGACAAGGGGGGGTGGGTGCGTGTGCTGGAGAGATGGAAGGGGCAGGCAGGCGTTGTGGGCAGGGTGAGCAGCCGCTTACAGTGAGGGGCATCCATCCACCCTGCAATCTCGTTGGTGTAGTCGAGGAAGAGGTACTTGTTGAACAGCGCCGGCTCTGCTCCTCACCACCACATGCATCCGGATTTGGGGTCAGGGAGACAAGAGTGTGGTGTAGGGAAGTGAAAGGGGCAACAGCATTAATAAGGCTCATCTGGCCTCTCGCCTGTGTAGTATCGAGAGGTCTCAAAAACTACACTTCTATCGCGAGGCCCATTTGGCCTCTTGCCTGTGGGCTCTAGGGTACTCAAATTGTCCGTGGGGTTGACTTCTGAGAACCCTGGAAAATCACATTCGGCACAGCGATCCATGCTTGCCTAGATTCTCAGCTTGCATTTGCTGGTTGGCGGTTGGTAGGCGGTTGGTAGGCGGTTGGTAGGCGTATTGTGAGGAGTGGGCGGTGGATGGCTGGCAGAGGAGAGCCAGCACAGCACAGCACCGCACAGCACAGCACAGCACAGCACAGCACTGCACAGCACAGCACACCATAGCACAGCACAGCACAGCACAGCACAGCACGTCACAGCAATAGGTCGGTGGGGAAAGGAAAAGGAAGGGAGCTGGCAGAAACTCAGGTAGAGTTAAAAGTGCGAAGGTGCGATAGGTAAACCTCGTACCTCCAATGAGGTTGATAGAGTTTTCTTTGGAAGGGGTATTGGTGGCCAAGACGCAGTATTCAGAAGCCGAAACCTGTGGGGGGCGCATGGGATTGGGGAAGAGCCTTGACGGGTGGAACGTGGGGGTCGGCGACTTGGCGACTTGGCAAATCAGGTCAGGAACTCAGCAACTCGGGGATGTCAGCCAGAGGGTCTGACAACGAGTCTTGGGCCAAGGAGGGCTGCGATGGCATAGAAGGGTGGGGGGGAAAGGATCGAAGAGAGGAGAAGAGAAAGGAGACTGGAGAGGAGAGGGCAGGGAGAGGGGAGAGGAGAGGGCAGGGAGAGGGGAGAGGAGAGGGCAGGGAGAGGGGAGGGGAGAGGGCAGGGAGAGGGGAGGGGAGAGGGCAGGGAGAGGGGAGAGGAGAGGGCAGGGAGAGGGGAGGGGAGAGGGCAGGGAGAGGGGAGGGGAGAGGGCAGGGAGAGGGGAGAGGAGAGGGCAGGGAGAGGGGAGGGGAGAGGGCAGGGAGAGGGGAGAGGAGAGGGCAGGGAGAGGGGAGAGGAGAAGGGAGAGCACGTGGGAGGCAGCTAAATATGGACTCCACGTTCCTCCTACTCTGGCGTCCGTTTGGATGAAATGAGAGAAGCGGGAAACACGAGGCGGGCGACAGAAGGTTCCTGTGATACAATCACTTGAATGAGATTGGGCATGTGAATGAGTGTGCAAGGTGAGGAGCCGTGAAGTGAACCCAAAGCAAGCTTCCTTCTTATACCTGGGCGAGGTACTCGCGCGGCTTGAGATAGAAGTGGGCGGTGGCATTGGTGCTGTTTAGACTGAAAAAAGCAATGTCGATGGTGGGGAAGGTGGTGAACGGATCCTCTGCACTGTTCCCGTTCCTGCAAGTGGGGCATTGTCGTGCGAGTGAAGAAGAAATGGAGACAAGGAGGTCTGAGGACCGACTGTACGAGGTGATGGTCAGAGAGTATAAAATACTAGAAAGGAGCTACTCGTGCTCAAAACCACTGTGTTGCCTTGGGATAAAAGGCAGACACTAGGAAACGCAGACAGTAGAAAAAGGGGGTGTACACACAGGAAATGGAGAAGCCTGGGTGAGCTGATGTAGAACATACCAACACTACTGGGTGGCCAGTAATTTGGAATTGTCAAGGCTATCCGCTGGTCAGTAGTGCTGGTTGCGCCACTTCGCTGACGACGGCGTAGAGTTTTCTAACGGAAACTCCTGCCTTGCTCGACAGCCTGGGTCTGATCCCCCTTTTTTTTTCTTTGAGAATCCAAAAAAAAACCGGACCCTATTGCCGATGAGAAGAAGTTCACACTAGGCGCTTTTTGAGATTTCACGAGAAACGCTTACAACAAACAAGAAGGCACCACGGAGCCTACCGCGCGCGGCCTACGAACGAACGGATGAAGCACAGTGGTGGTGCATCACCACGCTCAACCGTGCACGGCAATCCCTTGCATTCTTGCACGCCCACCCTCCAAACACTCTCGCCTCTGCTACTCACCACGCATTCTCGCCTCTGCCACTCCCTGCCATTCAGCAGAGCAAGTGCCCCTTCTTCTCTCGCCCTCCGTACCATCTCGGAGGTCTAGCACGTCTAGAGATGATTTATTCCTCCTCGCGGCAACCAAAGCAGATTCTGGCCCCACAAAACCAGGAGCGAGTGATTTTTGAGAATTCTCAAAAATCACTCTCTTGTTTGTTTTCAAACATCGACTTCTTTTATCAACCTCAAAAAATTCACGGTCTTCTTTCAGGATTCCTTCTCGCCCAATATTATCTCGCCTGTCAATGCTCACCGTGGACAAGGTGACTTTTGAGTCGACTAAAAAAAATCACGGCATTCGTTCAGGATTCCTTCTCATCTCAACCACTATCATTTTGCTTGTCAATGCTCACCGTGGACACACATGCTCATGCTTACACAACAGCAGATAGAGCAGGCCCCACACCAAAGAAGCCACAAATCCAACGCATTCCAGCACCCAAGAGCCTGAGAATAACCATTCCAGGGTCGCAAGATGTTTGCAGTGGTTCACAGACCAAACGGTGTGCCAGAACCGAGCAAACCATGTCACATTCTTTCCTCTGGCTGTAAATTTGTACAACTGACTGGCACACTGTCCTTTCTGGCCAAGCACCCTATTGGGTCACCTGGCGTGGTTTGGGCTGGGTCACATGAGGCGAAATACTTGGGCGACTAAGAGCTTGAGGTGAAGCTCCCACAGAGGTTGGATGAGTATGGCTTACCTTGCATGCAATAGCAGGTGCCTTCAGGTTCCATTCAGACTGAGAACCTCTTGAAGGGGGAGCCGGGCCGAGAGCTGGTGTGTTGTGCACAGAGGTGGCACTTGGAAGGAGTGACACAAGTGGAAAGGTGCGCTCACAACTCAATGGGTCGATGGACATAAAACATTGCGACTCACTTGAAGCATGGAAGCCGGAAAACACTGTCATCCTCTGCAGACATGTTGTGGCCTGTCATCACTTGGAGCTGCAAACATGCACATGCACACGCACATGCACCCGCACACACACATGCACATGCACGGGCACATGCACACGCACACACACATACACATGCACCTATGCACACACACATGCACACGCACATACGCATGCACATGCACGTGCACATGTGCATGTACATGCACATACACACATACACATGCGCACGCACACGCACATACACATGCACATGCACACGCACACACGCATGCACACGCACACAATAATGCACACGCACACAGACATACAAACGCACATACACATGCACATGCACATACACATGCACATGGACATACGCAGACACACATGCGCATGCACACGCACACACACACATGCACACGCACACACACATGCACATGCACACACACATGCACATGCACACACACATGCACACACACATGCACATGCACACACACATGCGCATGCACACACACATGTGCACACGTACAGGCACATCCACATGCGTAGGAGAGTGCATAAGGAACCAGGCACATGAGGAGTTTAAGAGGAAACAAGCATTTCCAGCAAGCCCTGTTGCACTACAGTCCACCAAGTCTGAAGCCGCTAGGCCAGCAGTCAGGCCTCTTCCAAGCCACTAATGAATAGCCAAACTGCGGTCACAATTCCCATCATGTCACCTCCATTCCGTGGTCGGAGAGGCAATAAACACGCCCATAGCTTTGTCTCGTATAAGCCAACTTATGGGATGCCCCCTTGGCATGTGGGGTGCTCTAAAGAGTCATCACAGCGAGAGAATACTAGACCTAGCAGCTTGAGACAGCTCGCAGCAGAGCGCATACAAGCAGCATGCGGGGTCATGCCAGCACCACTCACTGGTTCCACTTGGCTAGCCTTCACATGGCCTTGGGACCGCCAGGCTCTCAGACAGACACGCAGGCACAGGCAGAGGCACACGCAGGCAGGCAGAGGCACACGCAGGCACAGGCAGAGGCACACGCAGGCAGGCAGAGGCACACGCAGGCACAGGCAGAGGCACACGCAGGCAGGCACAGGCACACGCAGGCAGGCAGAGGCACACGCAGGCACAGGCAGAGGCACACGCAGGCAGGCACAGGCACACGCAGGCAGACACAGGCACACGCAGGCAGGCACAGGCACACGCAGGCAGGCACAGGCACACGCAGGCAGGCACAGGCACACGCAGGCAGACGCAGGGTGAGGAGCACGTACCGCGTTGACCAGGCTCATGAAGAGAGGGTAGCGCAGGAGATGCACGAAGGACTCGGGCATGAAGAGGAAACCCGGCGTGGCGTTCTTTGGAAAATCCGCAGGCAGATAGGAGCCTGGGTCTACGTATGCCGGGTCGTCTGTGATGTTGAGGGCGCGCTTAGCCGTGGTGAGTGTGATGTGGCTGTACTGCATTCCGGCCAGGTAAAGCCTGGAGGGAGGGGTTGCACATAGGTTAAGAGCGTGACATGGGTGAGTAGGTAGGTGGGTGGGTGGGTGGTATGTATGTATGTATGTATGTATGTATGTATGTATGTATGTATGTATGTATGTATGTATGTATGTATGTATGTATGTATGTATGTATGTATGTGTGTATGTATGTATGTATGTATGTATGTATGTATGTATGTATGTATGGATGGATGGATGGATGGATGGATGGATGGATGGATGGATGGATGGATGGATGGATGGATGGATGGATGGATGGATGGATGGATGGATGGATGGATGGATGGATGGATGGATGGATGGATGGATGGATGGATGGACGGACGGACGGACGGACGGACGGATGGACGGACGGACGGATGGATGGATGGACGGATGGATGGATGGATGGATGAAAGAGAGCAAGGGAGGCGGCGTCAAGGAGTGATTACAAGGAGGCGTAGCTGGCGCCGGCAGAGAGAGAAAGAGAGCAAGAAGGAACATGGAGCAGCAGCAAGGTGGTTATCATTACAAGGAGGCGTAGCTGGCGCCGGCAGGGAGAGAAAGAGAGTGAGGAGGGACATGGAGGGGAGCTATCATTACAAGGAGGCGTAGCTGGCGCCGGCAGGGAGGCCGGTGGCTCCGATGGTGAGATGGCTGCTGCCTGTCTGCAGCGGCACCTTGCCATCCCACCCCGTCTTGTTTGTCGGCAACGGCTCCTCCAGACACATCGCGAAGGAGCTTGGGGCATCAATGGCGGTGAGCTCATAGAGGAAGGGGCTGTACCACCCCAGCCCCAGCACGCCTCCTGCCGCCCACGAGCCGTACTGCCACCCCTGCATGCCCCAGTAGCCCTTCTGGTTCACTCCACAGCTGGGGGGGCAGTGTTGGGCGGCAGAGAGGAGTGTGAGGCACAGAACGAATGGGGAGGTGAGTGTGTGAGATATCGTGAAGAAAGAGAGAGGTCTTGAGGTAGGAACCAGGGGAAAGGGGAAGAGCAATGACAAGCAGAGTCTCACCCAAAAACGATGGATCGGTTGACTTCGGTACCATCAGGTGCAGTGAGGTAGACCGTGTCCTCTACCACATGCCCCGTTGACTGAAGGTAAGAAGAACCTTCAACAGCGTCAGCTTCATAGTAGTCGTAGCGAGCTGCATTCGCATTGTACACACACAGGGCGTCGTCCCCAGGCAGCAGGCCCGTGGTGTTGAGGTAGTTGGGGAGCCCCTCCGTGTTGCAGCCGTAGGTGTCATAGTCAGAGCCCCCCATGCAGCGCTGGTCCACGCAGGAGATGTACTTGAGGGTTGTGGAGGCGAGCGTGCTGAAGGGCTTGCTGCTGGGCGTCTGCAGGGCGAGGGAGAAAGAGAGGGAGAGGGAGAGGGAGAGGGAGAGGGAGAGGGGCCAGGGGAGGGAAAGGAGGGAAACGTGAGACGAGGCTCGAGGGGAACGGCTTGCCGTAGTCAGTCTGCAGGGAGAGGGGAGGGGAGCCAGAAGGAGTTGTCGCATTCGCACTCATTCATTCTCCTCCTCCTCACTCTCATTCTGGATCTCACTCGCCCACTCCCAGTCCGCCACCCCCTTTCCGCCCTCGCACGTCCCCATGGGCGTGCGTGGCTGGTGGGTGTGGGAGGAAGGCGGAGCCTCATGCACGCACCCCCTTGCGCGAGGTGCCGCAGTGCAGGCAGTCGCAGGGCACGAAGGTGTGGGAGACAGCGAGGTTGAGCGCCATGCTGAACTCCTGCTTCTACGACCCCAGCTTGAGCGCCACATAGTACGGATACACTCTGGTGGGGCCACACGAGCGACGGTGGGTGGGGTGAGGGGAGGAAGGGCAGAAAGGGACGAAAGGTCACAGAAGAGCGAGGTTGAAGGGGTGCGGCGAGTGGCATGCAGCGAGAGGGATGCGGCGAGTGGCACGCAGCGAGAGGGGCACGGTGCGGAGCATACAGGAGGCGGATGTGGTTGTTATCGATGGGGGTGCTGTAGTTGACCATGGTGTTGCCCATTGTGCCGTTGGCCGTTGAGAGCAGCGTGCTGTCGTACTCCAGCGGCGGCAGGGGATACCCCACATCCTGCACGCAAGCAACCAGGTACAACAAACAACCCATGAGCAAGACGCGACAAGTTTTGAGACGTCCCAGAACATGAGTAAGACGTAACGAGCTCTGAGGCGCCTCAGAATCAGTGAGGCCCCAATGGCGAAGGATGCCCCCCTTGTCTGCACCGCAAGCAACGAGGTAGGAAACACGACCCACAGCTGCGCGCAGAAACGATCAGGACAGAGGGACTTGACAGGGTTGAAAAGGTAGAGGCACGTGGGAGGTATGCACGACAGCACAAGGCAGCAAAAGTAGTGGGGAAGGCAAGTGCATGCCGGAACCAACAGATCGATCGGTCACACAGAACTCTTGTGGTTTTGTGTAACAACTCAGCTCATGAGAGCGGGCGAATGTGACGCAGCATGTCACCTGCCACCTCCCACGTGCCTCGTGCCTGCCACCTGCCAAGTGCTACCATTCCACAAACGACTGCCCGAAAGCACACAACTAATCTCCTAAGATTGCAGCAGCTGCAGCGTCGTCCCGTGAGCGCTCACTCACCTTCGATACTTTGCCTGCCTCTCCTTTGTCCTTCAAGCCGCCCCCCACGCCCTGCGCATGCCACGGGATTGTGGGAGGGAAGGAAGCAGCAAGCCATGAGGAGACTGACGTGGGTGCAATCTCTATCGCGAAAGACACACATTGATGCAGCGAACTGGCAGCGTTCACTAAAAAGTTGTCTACGCCAAATGCCATGCAACGCCATTGCCATGCAACGCCATTGCCATGCAACGCCATTGCCATGCAACGCCATTGCCATGCAACGCCATTGCCATGCAACGGCCATCTCATGTGATGCTGTCTCCTCGTATGTCCCTCAGCGCAGTGTAGAGGGAGGCATATCGGCATGGACAGGTCAAGCAGCAATGCTCTGCTCCCGGCCTCTCCACTCCCCTCCCCTCACTCACTCTGGACGCGAGAATCCGGCGGTGCAGCTCGTCCCTGCTGGGGGCGTCTTCCGCGCGCTGCAGGGGGAAGAAGTGCGCGCCCGCTTCCGCTGATCGCCGCTTCCACTCCGCAATCGACTCCGCGCCGTTGCTTCCCGCGTTGGCTGCCCCTCCGCCGCCGCTGGCGGCTGATGGATCGTTCTGGCGCCCCCCGGATGCTCCGACCTGCGGAAATGTGTCGAAAAAGCAGAAAGTCGATTATTCTCAAATTGGCTGTTTGCGGTCCCAAGATTGCTCTTTTTGTTTGTTCGTGATTGTGAGCCAAGCATTTAATCTTTGAGCATGTAGCGCCTCATGCGGCGTCCCAGGACGTGAGTCACCATGCCGCTTACTACAACTGCTATTAAACATGTATCGCCGCACGTCACGCGACTGTGCCCAGCAATGCTATTGGCATCGCATGCGACTCGTGTGATGTTGTTTGTACCTCGGGTGATTGCGAGTCGAACTGCTGGTGGGAATTCGAGGCATCTCCGGGAATGCTGCTGCGGGAATGAGCGCCCGCAACGGCTATCTCGGAGCCGTGGCGCGCGTCGATCCGCAAGACGCTGAGGGAGAGGAGCAGGAGCGACTCAAGCAGACGAGGGGAGGCGCCACGCCAAGAAAAAGCCATGGTAGCAGTCACGGGGGAGAGGTTTATTTTGTGCAACGCGAAGCCTCATGGGAAGATCCACAGCCACGGAATGCAAGGCGATGAGAGAAAGTACTGGAATTACCACGAGAATGGTGGGATAGCACCGCGGTCCGTCATTTCCTCGAAAAACGGCCTTGTCTATGCGCCATCGCCCACCCAACCCAACCCCTTCAAGTTGCTACAACTTGCGCACGCGCGTGGGATTTTTGTGTTGTGGTATATCTCAACGGACAGTTAACACTGCGGTAGGAAAAATCCAAGCCGCCCTTTTTGGCCGTCAACCAGGCCTGTCCATTGGTCTGGGATCAAAATTTCTAGCCTGCGCGCAACCCGTAGGGGGTTTATTGTTTTTGCCCGCGGGCAGCGAGCCCTTCCGGGCGGAGTCTGTTGTCCGTTGAGATGTATGGAATGGAAAAACCAAGCCGCCCTTTTGACCGTCAACCAGGCCTGTCCATTGGTCTGGGATCAAAACTTTTCTAGCCTGCGCGGAATGTTGCCCATTTTCTCACGTGCAGCGGCCCAAACGAACGAGGTTGGGACGTGCACGGGTCTGCCAAACCTAAAAAGAGGGTTGCGTACAGAGTTGTCCTTCTTAGCCTTTTAGGCGAAGTAAAGTTTCTGACAGTTGATATATTTGTTGTTGCTTGGAAATGGGGGTGTAGTTTATCAAAGCTACTGGTGTGCACGCGACTATCAAGTCAGCGAAACGGCCAAGACACAGGCCCTGTTACTAACGAAGAGACTGAAGAGGATTGAAGACGTAGCCCCTGGAACTTCCCAGGGCAGCCTAGATTGGTCCCCATCTTTTTGGGTTGACCTGGGTGAAGATAGCCTAGGGATTTGCAATTTCCAGGTGAGCTTTCTTGTTTTAGAAAGCTTGCCTTGCTCATCTCTCTTCCATTTGGCACTGATGAAGGCTTGCTAGGGGCTTCCCCACCGGCCGAAACATGTTTGTCTGTTTCATAACCACTGCTTAATGAAGAGCTCCAGTTTTACAAAACCCTATGCCAGATAGCTAATTTTCTCTACCAACTGTCTCTTCTTTGCTAAAACTTTCTCCTACGCTGCTGCTCGCTGGAATATCTCACAAAATGCTACAGGGTGGAAGTCTGGCTCTACAGGAGAGTGAGAGCAAGCAGGGCGGCGGAGGTGGCAAGGACAAGGGCAGCTGAGAGTGCCGCGGGCAGAGGGGACAGGGAATGGGTGGCCCCATTGGAAACAGGCAAGGGTGGTGGAGGAGGGGGAGGTGGCAGCTGCAGAGGCTCAGCTCCACCTGTTGGGATGAAGGGGAAGGGAAGTGAGAGGAGAGGAGAGGAGAGGAGAGGAGAGGAGAGGAGAGGAGAAGAGAGGAGAGGAGAGGAGAGGAGAGGAGAGGTGAGGAGAGGAGAGGAGAGGAGAGGTGAGGAGAGGAGATTTAAGGAGGAGGGAGGAGAGGGGTGGAGAGGAGAGGAAAAGGGATGGAGGGAGGGGAGGGGAGGGAAAGAAAGGGGAATCGTGTCAGAATTGGGGAATTAGAGCAAGGATCAAACCACAGAAGAGGATAAAAAGTGGGCAGAAATGACAACGGCAGCGGTGGCAGAGTCTGGAAGGGAAAGAATGCTCTCCAGAGGTCTTGGGTGTGATGTGGCAGACCGGACAGAAGCACTTTTGTGCTTCTGTGGTGGAAATGCAATATTTCTTGCAGCAAGTGAAAGATTTGCCTGCTTGAATGACCACGGCGGCAGCAGTTACAGGTGGAGGACAGAAAACGTCCGCAGCAAGCTGTTTTGATCATTATGTGAAGGGCAGGCAGGCGATGCAGGCAGGGTGAGCAGCAGCTTACAGTGAGGGGAATACATCCATCCTGCATACTGATTGGTGTAGTCCAGGAGGAGGTACCTGCCGAGCAGCCCCGGCTCTGCTCAGCGGCCGCGGCACCACATGCACCGACAGAAGAAGAGGGAAGTGCGAAAAGGGAGTGGTGTTGGCAGCAGGGAGGTGGGAAGAGCAGGCGCAAAGGGGCAATGGTGTAACCATGAGGCATCAAGAGGCAGAGAGGGAAAGGGGCAGCGATGATTCCATGGCTAATCCGGCCATGCTTGTGGGCTTCAGGTTGGAGTTAGGCACATGCAGAGGAGCCGACGAGTGCTTGGTCCAATAACCACCTTGCAGGATTACTTCTGAAAATTCCTGAAAGATGATGTAAGAGCAACGATCCATGCTTGCCCATCTGAACAAGCTTGTATCGACTTGTAGGCCGCAGGCGGCTGGTAGGTGTGCTGTGAGAATTGAATGGTGGTTGGCATGATGGCAGAGGATGGGCAGCACGGCACGGCACAGCAGCAGGTCGGTGGGGACAAGGAAAGGTGCTGGCAGAAGCTCACTGGGAGAAAGCCGTGGAACCGTGTGCTAGGTAATCCTCTTACCTCCAATGAAGCTGTTGTAGTTGCTTCCAGGATTAAGAGGGTTGACCAACATGCAGTACTCGGAAGGTGAAACCTGTGGGGGCAGGGCAGCATACCATAGAGAAGTGAGTTGACAAGTGGCGTGGGGGAGTTTCATTCAGCCAAGCGGCATCAATTGAGCAAGTCATTGAGCGAGCAAGTCAGAATCTCAGGGGGCTCATCCAGCTCTCAGACAGCGCGACTGGGGTTAAGGATGGCATGGACGAGTGCAGCATGGTGAGCAAGGGAACGGGAATGACCCCCCAACGTGGAAGCGAGTCGAGATGAGGGGGAATAGATGAAGGGAGGAGAGATGGGAGTGGGGGGGAAATGAGGAGGGGGGAGATGAGAGGGGCGAAACCAGGAGAGAGGGAGGGAAGAGGAGGAGAGAGGAGAGGAGAGAGGAGGGGAGAGAGGGGAGAAATGCAAGGAGAAATGGCCGTGTTCACCTGAGCGAGGTACTGGTGAGGCTTGAGATAGAAGTGGGCGGTGCGACTGGTGTTCATAATAAAGGGGAAAGCAATGTCGATGGTGGGGAAGGTGGTGAACGGATCCACCGCAAAGTGAGAGAGAGAGCATGGTTGTTGTAAGAGGGTAAAGCAGCCCGTGATTCTGATTTATTGACAACAGCAGCCCACGAGGAAGAGCACCTGAGCAGAGCACCACTGACCCCGTGTGACTTTTGAGTCGACTCAAAAGTCACGTGGAAGAGCACCTGAGCGGAAGAGCACCTGAGCGGAAGAGCACCTGAGCGGAAGAGCACCTGAGCGGAAGAGCACCTGAGCGGAAGAGCACCTGAGCGGAAGAGCACCTGAGCGGAAGAGCACCTGAGCGGAAGAGCACCTGAGCGGAAGAGCACCTGAGCGGAAGAGCACCTGAGCGGAAGAGCACCTGAGCGGAAGAGCACCTGAGCGGAAGAGCACCTGAGCGGAAGAGCACCTGAGCGGAAGAGCACCTGAGCGGAAAGAGCACCTGAGCGGAAAGAGCACCTGAGCGGAAGAGCACCTGAGCGGTAAGAGCACCTGAGCGGAAGAGCACCTGAGCGGAAGAGCACCTGAGCGGAAGAGCACCTGAGCGGAAGAGCACCTGAGCGGAAGAGCACCTGAGCGGAAGAGCACCTGAGCGGAAGAGCACCTGAGCGGAAGAGCACCTGAGCGGAAGAGCACCTGAGCGGAAGAGCACCTGAGCGGAAGAGCACCTGAGCGGAAGAGCACCTGAGCGGAAGAGCACCTGAGCGGAAGAGCACCTGAGCGGAAGAGCACCTGAGCGGAAGAGCACCTGAGCGGAAGAGCACCTGAGCGGAAGAGCACCTGAGCGGAAGAGCACCTGAGCGGAAGAGCACCTGAGCGGAAGAGCACCTGAGCGAAGAGACCTGAGCGGAAGAGCACCTGAGCGGAAAGAGCACCATGAGCGGAAGAGCACCTGAGCGGAAGAGCACCTGAGCGGAAGAGCACCTGAGCGGAAGAGCACCTGAGCGGAAGAGCACCTGAGCGGAAGAGCACCTGAGCGGAAGAGCACCTGGAGCGGAAGAGCACCTGAGCGGAAGACACCCTGAGCGGAAGAGCACCTGAGCGGAAGAGCACCTGAGCGGAAGAGCACCTGAGCGGAAGAGCACCTGAGCGGAAAAGAGCACCTGAGCGAAGAGCACCTGAGCGGAAAAGAGCACCTGAGCGGAAGAGCACCTGAGCGGAAGAGCACCTGAGCGTAAGGAAGAGCACCGTGAGCGGAAGAGCACCTGAGCGGAAGAGCACCTGAGCGGAAGAGCACCTGAGCGGAAGAGCACCTGAGCGGAAGAGCACCTGAGCGGAAGAGCACCTGAGCGGAAGAGCACCTGAGCAGAAGTGAGCACCTGAGCGGAAAGAGCACCTGAGCGGAAGAGCACCTGAGCAGAAGAGCACCTGAACGGAAGAGCACCTGAGCAGAAGAGCACCTGAGCGGAAGAGCACCTGAGCGGAAGAGCACCTGAGCGGAAGAGCACCTGAGCGGAAGAGCACCTGAGCGGAAGAGCACCTGAGCGGAAGAGCACCTGAGCGGAAGAGCACCTGAGCGGAAGAGCACCTGAGCAGAAGAGCACCTGAGCGGAAGAGCACCTGAGCGGAAGAGCACCTGAGCAGAAGAGCACCTGAGCGGAAGAGCACCTGAGCGGAAGAGCACCTGAGCGGAAGAGCACCTGAGCGGAAGAGCACCTGAGCAGAAGAGCACCTGAGCGGAAGAGCACCTGAGCGGAAGAGCACCTGAGCGGAAGAGCACCTGAGCGGAAGAGCACCTGAGCGGAAGAGCACCTGAGCGGAAGAGCACCTGAGCGGAAGAGCACCTGAGCGGAAGAGCACCTGAGCGGAAGAGCACCTGAGCGGAAGAGCACCTGAGCAGAAGAGCACCTGAGCGGAAGAGCACCTGAGCGGAAGAGCACCTGAGCGGAAGAGCACCTGAGCGGAAGAGCACCTGAGCAGAAGAGCACCTGAGCGGAAGAGCACCTGAGCGGAAGAGCACCTGAGCGGAAGAGCACCTGAGCGGAAGAGCACCTGAGCGGAAGAGCACCTGAGCGGAAGAGCACCTGAGCGGAAGAGCACCTGAGCGGAAGAGCACCTGAGCGGAAGAGCACCTGAGCAGAAGAGCACCTGAGCGGAAGAGCACCTGAGCGGAAGAGCACCTGAGCAGAAGAGCACCTGAACGGAAGAGCACCTGAGCAGAAGAGCACCTGAGCGGAAGAGCACCTGAGCGGAAGAGCACCTGAGCGGAAGAGCACCTGAGCGGAAGAGCACCTGAGCGGAAGAGCACCTGAGCGGAAGAGCACCTGAGCGGAAGAGCACCTGAGCGGAAGAGCACCTGAGCAGAAGAGCACCTGAGCGGAAGAGCACCTGAGCGGAAGAGCACCTGAGCAGAAGAGCACCTGAGCGGAAGAGCACCTGAGCGGAAGAGCACCTGAGCGGAAGAGCACCTGAGCGGAAGAGCACCTGAGCAGAAGAGCACCTGAGCGGAAGAGCACCTGAGCGGAAGAGCACCTGAGCGGAAGAGCACCTGAGCGGAAGAGCACCTGAGCAGAAGAGCACCTGAGCGGAAAGAGCACCTGAGCGGAAGAGCACCTGAGCAGAAGAGCACCTGAACGGAAGAGCACCTGAGCAGAAGAGCACCTGAGCGGAAGAGCACCTGAGCGGAAGAGCACCTGAGCGGAAGAGCACCTGAGCGGAAGAGCACCTGAGCGGAAGAGCACCTGAGCGGAAGAGCACCTGAGCGGAAGAGCACCTGAGCGGAAGAGCACCTGAGCGGAAGAGCACCTGAGCAGAGAGCACCTGAGCGGAAGAGCACCTGAGCGGAAAGGAGCACCTGAGCAGAAGAGCCCTGAGCGGAAGAGCACCTGAGCGGAAGAGCACCTGAGCGAAGAGCACCTGAGCAGAAGAGCACCTGAGCGGAAGAGCACCTGAGCGGAAGAGCACCTGAGCGGAAGAGCACCTGAGCGGAAGAGCACCTGAGCAGAAGAGCACCTGAGCGGAAGAGCACCTGAGCGGAAGAGCACCTGAGCGGAAGAGCACCTGAGCGGAAGAGCACCTGAGCGGAAGAGCACCTGAGCAGAAGAGCACCTGAGCGGAAGAGCACCTGAGCGGAAGAGCACCTGAGCAGAAGAGCACCTGAGCGGAAGAGCACCTGAGCGGAAGAGCACCTGAGCGGAAGAGCACCTGAGCGGAAGAGCACCTGAGCGGAAGAGCACCTGAGCGGAAGAGCACCTGAGCAGAAGAGCACCTGAACGGAAGAGCACCTGAGCAGAAGAGCACCTGAGCGGAAGAGCACCTGAGCGGAAGAGCACCTGAGCGGAAGAGCACCTGAGCGGAAGAGCACCTGAGCGGAAGAGCACCTGAGCGGAAGAGCACCTGAGCGGAAGAGCACCTGAGCGGAAGAGCACCTGAGCGGAAGAGCACCTGAGCAGAAGAGCAACTGAGCGGAAGAGCACCTGAGCGGAAGAGCACCTGAGCAGAAGAGCACCTGAGCGAAGAGCACCTGAGCGGAAGAGCACCTGAGCGGAAGAGCACCTGAGCGGAAGAGCACCTGAGCGGAAGAGCACCTGAGCGGAAGAGCACCTGAGCGGAAGAGCACCTGAGCGGAAGAGCACCTGAGCGGAAGAGCACCTGAGCAGAAGAGCACCTGAGCGGAAGAGCACCTGAGCGGAAGAGCACCTGAGCAGAAGAGCACCTGAGCGGAAGAGCACCTGAGCAGAAGAGCACCTGAGCGGAAGAGCACCTGAGCGGAAGAGCACCTGAGCGGAAGAGCACCTGAGCGGAAGAGCACCTGAGCGGAAGAGCACCTGAGCGGAAGAGCACCTGAGCGGAAGAGCACCTGAGCGGAAGAGCACCTGAGCAGAAGAGCACCTGAGCGGAAGAGCACCTGAGCGGAAGAGCACCTGAGCAGAAGAGCACCTGAGCAGAAGAGCACCTGAGCGGAAGAGCACCTGAGCGGAAGAGCACCTGAGCGGAAGAGCACCTGAGCAGAAGAGCACCTGAGCGGAAGAGCACCTGAGCGGAAGAGCACCTGAGCGGAAGAGCACCTGAGCGGAAGAGCACCTGAGCGGAAGAGCACCTGAGCAGAAGAGCACCTGAGCGGAAGAGCACCTGAGCGGAAGAGCACCTGAGCAGAAGAGCACCTGAGCGGAAGAGCACCTGAGCGGAAGAGCACCTGAGCGGAAGAGCACCTGAGCGGAAGAGCACCTGAGCGGAAGAGCACCTGAGCGGAAGAGCACCTGAGCAGAAGAGCACCTGAACGGAAGAGCACCTGAGCAGAAGAGAACCTGAGCGGAAGAGCACCTGAGCGGAAGAGCACCTGAGCGGAAGAGCACCTGAGCGGAAGAGCACCTGAGCGGAAGAGCACCTGAGCGGAAGAGCACCTGAGCAGAAGAGCACCTGAGCGGAAGAGCACCTGAGCGGAAGAGCACCTGAGCAGAAGAGCACCTGAACGGAAGAGCACCTGAGCAGAAGAGCACCTGAGCGGAAGAGCACCTGAGCGGAAGAGCACCTGAGCGGAAGAGCACCTGAGCAGAGCACTGACCCCGAGTCGATGCGATGCAACCAAGCTAGCTCCAGCATGCGCTGACCAGAGTTTATAGAATTAAGGTGCACAGGGACGCACAGGGGGTCACTCCACTGTTACAACGAGAGCAGATAGAGCAGGCCCCACACGACTTGGGTACCAATTTGTTGTTCCATGCCCACGCCCACCACCTCCTCTCCCTCTGACAGGCTCCCAGGTGGCTTGATGGTTCACAGACCAAAAGGCATGTCAGAACCGAATAAATCATGTCGCCTTCTTTCCTTTCTGGCAATGCAACCTGCTGTTGGCTAATCCCACCTGACGTGCTTTGGGATTGGTTGCAGCAGGTGATGTACTGTACTTGGCACTTATGTATGCTAAAAATGTGGAGACACCTTTCTCCGATCTGAGGATCAATGCCAGTTTTATAGCAGGTGGCCCAGCTTTGATAAAAAGCTACCAAACGCAGTGAAGAAAATACTCGATGTGAGGCTGCCAACGAGGCTGAATCAGTACGGCTCACCTTGCAGTCAGGCGCTCGTAGCATATCCTCAAGGTTCCATTCGCGTGCAGGACAATCAAGGGTCGTTTGAGGAGGAGCAGGGAGGGAGCAGCGACGTTGTGCACGGACGGACGGAGGTGACACTTGGGGTTGGTTGGGGGAAGGGAACCAAGCTCAGCTAAAAAACTCACTTGAAGCATGGAATCCCCAAATAATTCACAGTCTTCGTCTCTCTACAAAGGTCATGCCCAGTCATGTCTCGGATCTGCAAACGTTCACATGCACATGCACATGCGGATGCGCAAGCGGGTGCAACAAGAAGAAGAGGATGCACATGCGGATGCGCAAGCGGGTGCGGCACATTAGGAGAATGAGGGGACGCTTCAACCTCGCTTCAACAATCTCCCGGCGCAGTAACGACCAAGTCCAGTTGCCGACCTCCTTTGCTTTGTTGATGCTTAGCAGGACGTAAACAAAAGCAGTGAGAATCATGCCAGCTCCAATCACTGGTTCCACTTGGCCCGGCTTTCATGAAATCGAGTCAGTCGGGTTCTCAGACAGCCAGCCAGGCACAGGGCGAGGCGAGGTGAGGAACATACCCCGTCGCAAAGGCTGAGAAAGAGAGGGTAGCGCAGGAGATGCACGAAGGACTCGGGCATGAAGAGGAAACCCGGCGTGGCGTTCTTTGGAAAATCCGCAGGCAGATAGGAGCCTGGGTCTACGTATGCCGGGTCGTCTGTGATGTTGAGGGCGCGCTTAGCCGTGGTGAGTGTGATGTGGCTGTACTGCATTCCGGCCAAAAAATCCCTGGGTAGAGAGAATGCACACGGGTAACACGCATGAGGTGGGTGGGTGGATGGATGGATGGACGGATGGATGGACGGATGGACGGATGGATGGATGGATGGATGGATGGATGGATGGATGGATGGATGGATGGATGGATGGATGGATGGATGGATGGATGGATGGATGGATGGATGGATGGATGGATGGATGGATGGATGGATGGATGGATGGATGGATGGATGGATGGATGGATGGATGGATGGATGGATGGATGGATGGATGGATGGATGGATGGATGGATGGATGGATGGATGAATGGATGGATGGATGGATGGATGGACGGATGGATGGATGGATGGATGGATGGACGGACGGACGGACGGACGGACGGATGGACGGATGGATGGATGGATGGACGGACGGACGGACGGATGGATGGATGGATTGGGGATTACAGAGCGGGATTACATGTTCACGAGGGGGATTACATGTACGTGTAGTTGGCGGCGCCTTTAGTGAGGCCGAAAGCACCAATGACGAGATGGCTTCTGCCTGTCTGCAGTGGCACCTGGCCATCCCACCCCGTCTTGTTCGTTGGCGTTGGCTCCTCCAAGCACACCGCAAAGGAGCTTGGGGTATAGGCAGAGGTGAGCTGCTCAAGAAAGGGGCTGGACCACCCCAGCCCCAGCACGCCTCCTGCTGACCACGAGCCGTACTGCCACCCCTGCATGCCCCAGTGGCCCATCTGGTTCACTCCACAGCTGGGCAGGCAAGGAGGGGCGGCAGAGAGGAGTGTGAGGGAGAGCATGAAGGAAGAAGTGAGCATTTGAGATATCGTGTAGTTGGATAGCGATGTTGAGGGAGGAAGCACGGGAGAGAGGACGGGCAATGACAGGAGAGACTCACCCAAGAATGATGGAGCGGTTGACTTCGGTACCATCAGGTGCAGTGAGGTAGACCGTGTCCTGCACCACATGCCCCACTGACTCAAGGTACGATCCTGTTCCGTTCTCAACAGCTTCCCAGTCCGCTTCATTCATAGTAGTCGTAGTTTCCTGCGTTCGCACTGTACACGCAGAGAGCGTCGTCCCCAGGCAGCACGCCCGTGAAGTTGAGGTAGTTGGGGAGGCCTTGCGTGTTGCAGCCATAGTAGCCGGATTCAACGCCCTTCTGGCAGCGGTGGTCGGTGCAGGAGATGTACTCAAGGGTCGAGGAAGAGAGCGTGCTGAAGGGCTTGCTGTAGGTGGTCTGCGCGGCGAGGGAGAGAAAGAGGGAGACGAAGTGGGCGAGGGAGAGGGAAGGGGGTAGGGAGAGGGAGAGGGCGAAGGAGAGAGAAAGGGATAGGAAGGAGGGGAACGTGAGGCTCGAAATGGGTGGCTTGCTGTAGTCAGTGTGCAGAGGGAGGGAGAGGGGCAGAAGTGTTGTGGCGTGGGTGGGGAAGGGGATGGGGTGATGGGTGGGGACGGGAGAGGAGAAAGAGTGAGGCTAGATTTATGTGCTATTGTAGCGGAAACAGAAATGCAGAATGAGTGGATTCACATGTGTGAACGAGTGGATTCACATGTGTGAACGAGTGAAAGGGCAATGGGAGAGAGAGCTAAAGGCGGAAACATTCATCTTCAGCAGGTCATAAGGAATCCATCAGCCAGAACAGGGGGTGAGATGAGGACAGAGGAAAAGAAACAAAAAGGGGAAGGAGGAAGCAAAAGGGGTGAGGACGAGGAACGGAGTCATGGCTCAGACTCGATCGCAACCCGCACTGCACCGCAGAGAAAGATAAAAACAAGCGAACAAAAAGACAAGAGGAGCATCCACGGAATGACACTCATGGACAAGGGACCAGCTTAATCGAACTTCCACTCAGTCACCCTCTTAAGCCCTCACACTCTCACATTCTCACTCATTCACTCTCCTCACTCTCATTCGAACTCCTCATTCCCCCGCGCGGGAGGAATGAGCGGAGGGCGGAACCCCACGCACCACCTTGCGCATGGAGCCGCAGTGCAGGCAGTCGCAGGGCACGAAGGTGTGCGGCAGGAACAGGTTGAGCGCCATGCTGAACTCCTGCTTCTGCGACCCCAGCTTGAGCGTCACGTAGTACGGATACACGCTGGTGGGGGGAGATGTGCCCGATGGTGATGGGAGGAAGGAGGGGTGGGGGGAGAAAGGGGAGAAAGGGGAGAAAGAGGAGAAAGGGGAGAAAGGGGAGAAAGGGGAGAAAGGGGAGAAAGAGGAGAAAGGGGAGGTTAAGGAAGGAGGGAGATGGAAGTGGGGTTTGGTGAGAGGTGGGAGCATGGGATGGGATGGGACCGTGCGCCTATTGTGGGACGATGGTTGACCGAGAGGGGTGTGAGAGAGTTGCTGCGGCGTTGTGAGAGAGTGTGTTTTGAGAGTATGTGAGCGGCACCCAGCGAGGGTGATGCAGTGAGCGAACGAGAGGCATTTCACCCATGACTGCACGACACGACACGACACGACACGACACGACACGACACGACACGACACGACACGACACAACACAACACGACACGACACGACACGACACGGCATTGGCGCATACGGGAGGTGGATGCACGTGTAGAAAGCGAAGCTTTGAGACGTCTCATAACTGCACGTAGCTTCACTCATAACTGCACGACGACACGACGTTGCCACATACGGGAGGCGGATCTTGTCGTTGCCGCCGGCGAAGGTGCTGTAGTTGACCATGGTGTTGCCCATTGTGCCGTTGGCTGTTGAGACCAGCGTGCTGTTGTAGTCCATCAGCGGCAGATAATACCCCGCCGACTGCGCGCAAGCAGGGATGCGCACAAGCAGGGATGCACGCAAGCAGGGATGCACGCAAGCATGCAGCAAGCAGGTAGGTGGGACAGACAGCCCATGTGAGCGACGGATTCCCGAGGTGGCAACAACAGCAAAAGAAAATTTCCCCGTTGTCTGCACGCAAGCAACGAGGCGGACTAGCCGCAGGCAGGTGGAAGGTCCGCTACGTGGTAACATACAACAAGGTATAAGAATGCTGACTCACATCTGATGACCCGCCACCCTCTCCTTTGGCCCTCAAGCCGCCCCCCACGCCCTGCGCATGCCACGGGATTGTGAGAGGGAAGGAAGAAGCAAGCCATGAGGAGACTCACGTGGGTGCAATCTCAACCCCAGAAGACACACAGTTCGGCTGCGGCTAAGGGGCAGAGGCTAATCATAGCTCAAACTCTGAGTTACGTGACGTGACGCGTCATGAGCGAGCAATCTTGTTACTAGAATGCCTTGAGACGTCTCAAGCATTTCGTGGTTGAAAGGTCAAGCAGCAACGCCCTGCTTGCGGCGGCCCCTCCCCCGCTCACTCTGGGCGCGAGAATCCGGCGGTGCAGCTCGTCCCTGCTGGGGGCGTCTTCCGCGCGCTGCAGGGGGAAGAAGTGCACGCCCCCTTCCGCCGATCGCCACTTCCATTCCGCAATCGACTCCTCGCCGTCGCTTCCGGCGCCCATCGTGCTGACCGGCCCCCCTCCGCTGCCGCTGCTGGCGCTGCTGGCGTATGGAACATCCTGGCGCCATTCGGACGTTCCGACCTGCGATGACTCGCCGTGAGAGCGAGGGGAGAGGGGGGTAGAGAAGGGAGGGGGGGAGGGAGAGGGAGAGAAAGGTGGCATACGCACAGAAAACGGGAGGATGCGTCAGAGTTGTTGAAAGTCCGGACGGTACTACAAAAGCCTGTAAACAAGTTGAAAAAACAGTTTGTTCTCACAACGCTGTGTGTAGTGCTAGAACTCCTCGCGCCGCTTGTGATCATCTAGTGCCGCCACATGCGGCGTCCCAGGATGTGAGCCACCATGTGACTCGCAAATGGACATCTTACTAGCGCCGCGTCGTGCTGCCTCCCAGCGAAGTTAGTACTAGCATTGGCTGGGCCCTACAACTTGTACCTCGTGTGACTGCGAGTCGAACTGCCGATGAGAATTTGCGGCATCCCTGGTGAGCCTGCCAGATTGAGCGTCCGCAACGGATATCTCGGGGCCGCCACGGTGGCGCGCGTGGATCCGCAAGACGCTGAGGGAGAGGAGCAGGAGCGACACGAGCAGACGCGGGGAGACGCCACGGCACGCAAAATCCATGGTAGCAGCCCACTGGGAGAGGGGTTTGCGTTCAATGCCAGAACTTCTGCGAGCGTCACGGAAGCTTCACAACCGCGCAGTGCAATCATGCAATGGCACATCGGAGAGAAAATGCTGGTACTTGTACCACTACTTCCACTTTGGAGGCAGGCTCTACGCAAAGTAGAAGCGGAAGGCTTCAGTCTGGCTGCCAGCAACAGATGTAGCATGTGGCATACAACCAGGTGACGCGCTGGTAGGGAAAAGTCTCGTCTCCTAGCCCTGTGAATAACCCTAGTAGCCATGCTGCCGAGTCGCGCCATGCTCTGAGTTTCCAGACGTGAAGCGCAGTGGAAAGTCAAAGGGGAAAGCTCCCCCCAAATTTGTAGCTGATTTACTCAATGCAGGTCAACGCATGCATCATCAGCTTCGGTAAGGAGCTCCTGGGGGATGTCGATTTGTTTTGGGCCAGAACTTGGGAGGCTGAGCTGTCTCTACCAGGGAAGAAATGCTGTATTTAGGGTGTAAATCAAAGTTGCACTTCCGACGTGGTTCTCACGTTCTCAACGTTCGACCCCATTGTGAAGCGAGTTATTGGTATAAAAACGACTTCGCTTGCATCCTCTGTGTCACGAGTGTCCTATAAGCCCTTGACTTGTCCTTCTGTAGGTGAGTACAGTGGTGGAATTGGGCTGTGATAGAAACATGACACTCAATAAGGTCTGGGCGTGGAACATTGTAATGACGAAGGCCATTTGCCTGTTTCAGGCGAAAGCGAAGTGATGTAACGCATGAGCGAACCCCGCCACACTTTTCGAAAGCAAGGACCAAAATGTTCGCCAGCGCGTGGGGCGCCCTCTAAAAAATCCTCCTAAAGTTGAAAGCAAAAAGTTGCAGCCCCGGACGAGTTTGGGGTGCTCCAGGCAGACGGACGGACACGCCATTGAAATGGCGTGTTTTGACTCGTCGTCAGATCTCATTCGTGTTTTGCCTCGTCAGATATTTCGTGTTAAACCTCGTCGGTCCCATCCTGTTCGAACTACCCGCAATTAGCGGACTGTAGGAAAATGCCTTGATTTTTCAGGGCAAATTTCTAGGCCATCCTGTAGGCATATGCCATGCCAAACTTCTTCCTGGACTCTCATGGCAACAAACAATAAAGGACCTGCTTAGTTTACTGCTTCTAGGCCTAACTATTTACTCATCTAGCAACTACACAACACAAACACTGCGCGCACGCACACATACATGCACATAACGGTTTAGTATAGCACCATTGTCCAGAAGTAGTATACTACCCAGTCCTCATCATCAAAACTGTTAAACCCACTGCTGCTGCTGCTGCTGCCAAGTTGCAAATCTGCCCCGCTAGCGTCCTCTAACATTTTCTCATTCCTTTTTGCACTCATTGGTCTATGTCTTTGCTCCTCCATTCTCCTGTTATGTATCCCCTTCATCATGTTGGCCGCCACCAAAGTCTTTACCGCACTCAAATTACTGGTCACAAAGGTTAATGATAGTGCGACGCAACAACGCCTAATCTGAAGTTATGTCAACATGCTATGTAACATGGTTACTGTCAAAACCATGATGGTACAACAGTGTATACGAGTTCAAATGTTTGCAGTGGCAACTCACCTCACGTTTCTGGATTTCCAGGTTCAGGTGTTGAAGAGGCTGAGGATGTAAGGCCATATATTGAACTTCAAAGAATTTTCAATGTTGTACATGTCTTTGTCGTACTCCAGCAGGATCATAATGACGGCGAGAAGGACAGGCACCAAACGTATAATGACATTCAACCATCGAACTACCGTGTTCCCTCGGAGACCCTAGGATCTTATGCTAGATCCCTAGAAAAAATGAGGGGGGGTCTTAACAAAGGTAAAAAAAAAAACACCCGGATCTTTTCGTATGGCATATTTTGTTTTAGTGTTTTCAACACTACAGTTAATACTTAAGTTGTGGGTTTGCTTTTGGTGAGCACCACGCCAACGAAAGTTGATCGCTTGACCAATCACAACAAATTCGCTTGTCACTGTAAAATTTGCCCCTATGACGCAGCAATTTCGCCCCCTGACACAACAATTTTGCCGACGGAGCAAGTCGGCGGCTTGCCAATGCTACACCAAGGAGGCTTGCCAACGTTTCAGCAAAGCGGTCTGCCGACGCTGCACCCGCATGTGATAGTAGCGCATGTGCGCACCCACTTCGCAGGTGCGCAGCGACGGTCGAGCACGTTGTGCACCGTCGCGCAGGTGCCAAGTTGGCCATGTGCCGATGATTGCGTCTGAATAGCCACGTCGGCCTCGGGGTACCAGCCCGAGGTCGCCTTCGCCACATTGGCCTCGATGACGTTCCCGAGCCCCCGCAGAACCTCGTCGACCAGCTCGGTCAGCTGCTGACGTCGACCTCCCATCTTCGACGGCCCCTCAACAAACTCACGCAGGTCGACGACCACCTTCGTTGACCTCCTCGGTAGAAGTAGGCAGCCGGCCCGCGTCGATGGCGGCATCGCAGTGGTCACCCGCAGGTCGACCACCTCGTCGACCCAGACTGGTGTCGACCTCTGTATAATAGTTGGCCGCACCTCCCGCGGACCCAACCATGGAGTCGATGTCGCCCAAGCGAGGGCAGGGCCAACACCCAATTCCCGTCAACAAACAAGCTGTAGACGAGGCTTAGCTCCAAGACTGAAGTGGCGGCGTCTCTGGCTGCCAAATCCTCTCTGCGTCACATTGAGATGGGTTGAACATAAGATACTGTTAAACGTACGGAAATGTCAAGCACATTCAACGTTACAGCAAGGAACAAACCCACAAGTGTGTAATGCAATGTTAGGAGAGCGCAGGATTCGTAGATGCAACCGAGCCACCATCATCACCCCGGCGTCATCCGTGCTAATCCCGTCCACCCTACTCAAATCGGTACGGGTGAGCAAGGGGGGTCAGCAAGAGTGCAAGCAATGATGCAGCATCACATTTCTCTACCGTAAGTAGCCCGATGAACTCAGTGACTACACATGAGTCATGGATAAACGTGGCAAACATATGATTGTGTTTGCCATGCACTTGATACGTACTCTCGTCACAGATAAGTCCAACAAATGGACTCGACTACAACCAGACGTCCTGCCGGGCACGAATATGCGTTGCTGTACTAACAATCTGCTATGGAAAAAGACATATATGCACAGAACGGTCAATGATGGTGTAAATATATGAGCGTAGAATCAAAATCGAGTACTATATTGATTGTTGATGAAGAGCTCAACTGTGTAATAAGCATCGAATGCGTTATTGGGGAACACACAAGCGTTTGGCGTTGTGCGAGGTGCCAAACGATTTGGACCCATATCTCTATCGGTGCGTCCGATATGCATATTTCCAGCAGCGCGATGACTAGTTCGCGCCGGATTTCTACAGCCTTTAGGCAGTAGGTGATGCGCTTTTGGTGCGTCGCGAATTGCTCCGAGATGGACCGCTTCCGGATGGTGCGTTTGTGCTTCCTAAAGCATTAGTGCAGACCGCCAAGGATTGCACGTAGACGACACCTTCCCGCCATAGCCGAAATATGTGCCATGTATTGCACCATACATAGATTGTATTTGACTGACGAGAATGTGAACGGTGCCTGACAAAGCTTAAGCCACGGGAAATCTATAGTCCATTCCCGTTAGTACTTGATCAGCATCTCTCGTATTTTTCCTCGGCCTCGCCACGTAATTGATATGTAGCGGAAGAAGAAGTACGGACGATGGATTGTATTTGTATGCTTGTGTTAAAACATGTTTCTATGTTGTTTGTTATGTTAATTCTGTTAGGCTGCAGTATGGCACCTAGTATAGGGTGCAATACAACTCTCTCTCGACACATGTACACTAATCTCCTACATTCCTGTTTCCTACCGTTGACATGGTTTCAGAGTAGGTTGATCTTTAGGACCAACGTTTTTTTTTAGGGCCCACCATTCGTTCTGCCCTGCCCGTTTTACTGCCCTACCCGCTAGCATGCGCACTGCCCTGCGGGCCACCACATGCCCTGCTGACCTGCGCGCCCTGCTGCCCTGCGTGCCAGCGCACCCTATTGCCTAGCACGCCAGCGCGCCCTGCTGCCCAGCGCGCCAGCGCGCCCCGCTGCCCAGCGCACCAGCGCGCCCCAGTGCCCAGCGCGCCAGCGCGCCCTGCTGCCAAGCACGCCAGTGTTCCCCGCTGCCCAGCGCCCGCACGCGCCTTGCTGCCCAGCGCCCACGCGTGCCCCGCTGCCCAACGCCTATGTCAGAACCATATTGTAGGCTGTAGTAGGGTTGACAATTTGGGGTACAACTCTTTTAGGTTTTCATATTTGTACCCACCTGCTTCCTAGTTGATTTTATTCCTCGTACTTTTCTCACATGGTATTGAGCGGGTTCCCTAGTGGGACCGTTTTTTTTTTTTTTTTTTTTTTTTTTTTTTAAGGGCCCACCACTTGAAAAATTTTCTGCCCTGCCCGAAGCGCACCTCGGGCTCTGACCTACTGCCGCCCTTAGCAGCCCGCCCTGCTGTCGTAGCCCTTAGTGGCCCGCCCTGCCTTCGCGGCCCTTAGCGGCCCGCCCTGCCTTCGCGGCCCTTAGCGGCCGCCCTTTCGCCTTTAACGGCCCGCCCTGCCGCCCTTACCGGCCTGTCGCCGCCCTGCCGCGAACCGCCCTGCCGCCCTTACGCAGCCCGCCCTGCCGCCCTTGACCGCCCGTCGCAGCCCTTTGCGGCCATTAGCGGCCCACCCGTCCCTTCGTCACGGCCCTGCGCGGCCCGCCAGCCCGTCGTTGCGGCCCTGCGCGGCCTGCCCGCACGTCGTCGCGGCCCTCCCCGGCTCGCCCGCCTCGTCGCCGCGGCCCCTTCCACCGCAGCAGCCGTCGCCCCTGCTGCCGATGTCGCCCCTGCAGCAGCCGTCGCCCCTGCTGCCGCCGTCGGGCCTGCAGCCGCCAATATGACCCCCACTGGAGTCGCCGCTGTGGCCCCGCCGTTACGGCCCTGCCCTGCCGCC